CCTACACGCAGCGGGCGAACGCCCCACCCCACCGAGGGCAGAGTGAACAAGCTTCACCGGTCTGTGCCTGCTGCAGACCTTCCCGCGGAGACCACGGCACCCAAGCAGGGACAGAACTTATGGTAACACGTGCTTTTGTAGCTGCCAAGTACTCGAGGTGTAGAGGCCAAGACAACTAGGCAGGTTTCTTTTGACAGACCCTGCTATATAGCTACTACCCTTTCAGAACTTAACCGGTGGCTTAGTTTACTGGTTTAGCAGCCCTCCAGGCCTCTGCAGTGAGTGTCTAACAGGACACCAGCCCAAGAACCAGTGGAACCATTACAATCAATCTGACTTAAAGGCAGTATAAATTAAGCTGGTAAAATGCTACTTTGATGTATTGCTTTTTAAATATTTTTATATTCAGAAGAATTGTTAATTCAAAAAAAATGCTGTGTGCTTTTTTCAGTGTTGGTAAGAGTTTAAAAAAAAAAAGGAGGAGGAAGCAGTGAGCTAGCTCAGTGTGTCTAGGTTTCCTTTCGTGGTTTATCTCAACAGATGTGAATTGTGGCACGTGGGGTTCTTGAGCACATGAAATTAAAATCTTCATGGAGATCTTTGGAGACAGGCCTGTGTCCCACGTGTTCTTGCACTGTGTGAGACATGCAGAGCCATCCCCCAGCTCCTTGTCCGTGCCTTCTTTCGAGGCTTCGCAGCAGACCAGTGGGGTGTGTCTGTTCTGTAGCACCATAGCATGGAATTGATTTTTGTTGCTACTAATAATTATAGCTTAGCAAAATTGTTCTTCCATGTTGACAGCCTGTTATCCCTTGAAAGCTTCCCACTGCTGAGCAGTAACCACCACCGTGTCTTCTGGGTGAATCAAATCTAAACACATTACCTTTGAGCCTATTTGATTGTGACTTGCCCCAGGGACTGTCCCTGCTGATGTCTTTTTAAAGAAAACCCGTGTTGGCTGTTGCCCTGTGTGGTAAACTGACACACAAAGTGGGATTACTCGGCCTTTCATGAGTATCACCAGTTGTGAGCTTGGCTCCAAAGCTTAGTTCCACTGCTGCAGGTGAGAGCCACCTTAGCAAAGATGTGCCTGTTGCCCCACCACAACTGTCAGAGGCCGAACTCTGTGGATGCCTTCATTCATCCCGACCATCAGCACTGAGTGCTGACTCTTTGTATGGCTCTACCCCTTCTCTTTCCTTGCTAGTGGGCCGTAGGAGATAGCAGAGTTTCCTCTGCATGCCATCACTCTGTCTAGTATTGCCGTGACAATTCTCCACCCCTTTCTCCGTCTGGTCCTTTGCTCATCTTGTCATGCGCCCAGAATGCCAGCAATTGGGCTTTCCTAGGGAATGGGTGCTAAACAGGAGGTTGTGGAGGACAGTACAATCCTCAGGGAAGTCCTCTGCTCTTTCTAACTGCCTCTTCTGACACCTGATCTTCACTTAGAGATGGCAAGATGCGTTCCAGTTAAGGAACACAGTAGCTCAGGTTAATAGGGCATATTGCTATAAACTGGAGACAGTGTAGAGCCAAGTCGGGTAACACAGAATCCCTGCAACTTGTAATTCCAGGCTGAACTGAAAACGTATAGTATTTGATATTCCAGGGCTGAATTGCTCAGTCAGGTTCGCAGCTCTCAACGACGAGGTGAGAGTGGTTACAAAGAAGACAACTGCTCGTACCGCCGAGGAGAAGCAGCTCCGTGAACCAGGTCCTGTACGTTCGCAGAGCTGAATTATATCCTAAGAGCTGCCGTGTATGAAGTGACCATAATAGGTGTTTTTATCCTCTTTTTTTAAAAGAGCAACAAAAAGAATTAAGAAGCTTGTTCAAAAAAAAAAAAAAAAACCAAACAACTTAAAAAAAACCTTTAAGTGGCAGCCTAAAGCCTAAAATGCATTTGGTGAGATTGTCTAAAGTTTCCATACGAGCTGGTCAAAGCAAGTGCTGCCTCTTACCTTTGAAAAAAAAGTTTGAGGAGACTTGGAAACAAACCAGCAGCAACAATAACAAGAGATTCTTAGTATGGTTCACGTCAGGATAAGGAACTATTAAAAGTAAGAGGGCACACTTAAAAAAACGTGGTTGAGTCTAACGAAGGAAATAAAAAAAGGATGATAAACTGAAGTGCAGACTAAGGGCAAAATGATATTTTTTTTTTGTTTTCCTTGGGGAACAGTCCTGCTTCATGGCATCTGTTGTTACAGGACCTACCTTAGGATAAGAGGGAAGATCCTCTCCTGGGCGGATAATTGACTAAGAAACATGAAACAAATTACAGACATATTCTAGTTTGTATGTTCAGCGGGAAGATGGAGAGTAATGCTGGAGGAGAATGGGCAAATCTTCTAAAGAAAGAGGGTTTTCTTTTGGTACAGAAAAAAGGGATCAGGAAATTAAACTAGAAAATGGGAATTTTGAGATAGAAAGTGCTGCTTCAGATCCTGCAGCTGATGTGTGTAACTCACTGCTACCAGCTGCTGTGGATCTTCAAATTTGCACCAATTGGACAAACTGCTGAAAGAGGAGTTCACTGGGGAGTATTAAGCACAAAGGTTCTTGTCCTGGCACACAAGAAAGTCCTCAAACCATCAGGTCAGAGAAATGTCACTGCATCCCTGCTCTGCCCTTTTGCCACTCAGAAAGAAGATACTGAGCTGGGCCTGGCTCAGTGTTACGGTGTCTTTGATTTCTGTCCTTTCTGGTACCTGCTAGGAAAGGCTGCTAACGATCACAGCACGCTGAGAATCACTGCCTGTGTGCTTTGTTCTGCCAAGCAGGTTGGTGGTGTCAGGATATCGAGGTGGAGCGATGCACAGGGAAGAGCTGAGCCAGGTGTAGGCCTTCCTGCCCTTGAAGTGAGCAGTGGGCAGAATGGCAGCTTCCCAAGGAAAACGTAACCACTTCCAACAGCATTCTTCTGTGCTGTCTGCATGAATTTCTTCTAACTGACGGGCCCACCTAGAGCCAGTTCTGCAGATAAGCAGTAAGATTCCTCAGCTGAAAGACTTTTCTTTAAAGCTCTAGAACTGCAGAGACTGTGTGCTAAGTACCTAGCTGAAAGCTGTCACCATGTACAGGTAAGCTTCCACAAAAAGACAAGTGACAACCTGAGAGCTGTTTTTTCAGGGGATAGCCAGGAACTAGAGCTTCCCTCTAAGGAAATCCATGCTCCTGTGACAATATTTTCTTCTGTGGCTATTGATCTCTCCAGTCTCACAGGCTCCCGTGAGCATAAATGGTTATGGAAGAGTCTCCTCCTTGGCTGCTTTTGGCACATTGCTCTTGTACGCCCTGACACCACACTGAAGTCCTTGGATATCTATACCCCTTGCTGTCTGGATACAAGGACTGGTTCAGCTATAACTCCTAATGTTGGCGTGTGTTGCTCAGGAAGTTTCATTTCTTTGTGTTCTGCTTTAACTCCTGCCATCTGTCACTTCCTCCCAGCAGTACATCTAACACAGGGTTCAGAGTAGCCTCACAGTGCACACAGAGCATCTTCAGCTTTGCCCTGTTACACATAGATGGGACTTGGGCAGGAACACCAAATTTACTCCATGAATGGTTGTATTTTGCAGTCCTTTTCTCCTTGAGGATGAGAGCTGGTAGGGCATTGATAAAGGGAGAAATAGATTGCGTATTTCTGCCAACAGCTACAGAAACAGTATCCCATGGAAGCGGTTTCTGCTTTTAGTACTTTGTCCCCAAAAAGAAGAGGGCCCAGTGTTCTGTCCTAGAAGTGAAGAGGCTGAATCAGTGTTCTCGTTCAGAATCATAAATGCCTGGTTGCTTCTGTCTTCTCCAGACAGACGGGCCGGTCCCATTTCTCACACTGTGCACCACTTTCACTGATGTCCATTCATATTAAAGAAAACCTCCCTGTTTAAAGCTTCTGGGCACATGGTCCCTGAGAAAGTCTTTTGTCCATGCCGTAGTGCTTTGTGAGCTGTGTACATGTCGTTCTTTCCCTCAAGAACCACGGGTTAATCGAAGCCTTTGCAGTATATCAGTGTGCAGGAGATTTCTTGCTCATCCTGGTCAGAAAGCAGTTGAATTTTGGAAACAGTGGCATCTCTGCAGAGTAACTCCCGTTGTTCTTCATCTATTAGGAATACACCATGATATGGCGGGTCCCCTCAGCAGACAATTTGAGTTAACCATGAGTGGGTGCTGACAGACTCCATTCTCACGCCTATATTCTACAGATGGAGTTCCCCTGTTTCCACCAACCCTCCAGAGCAGGTACTGATCCTGGGCTCCTCTAGATGTTGTCCTCTTGATTTCTTCATTCCCTAGCCTGCAGTCCAGGTTTTACACCTTTTTCTCTGTCCCTTGCAGCCTGAGTGAATACCGAGAACTCCTTTTGACTTGATGCTTGTGCCATTTGTCCCTTCTGGTTTGATTGCTGACCAGGCTGCTGGCTTGTGCTGCCAGAAATGTAAGAAAAGGACCTAGGCTGTTATTTAGGGATGTGGTAAGCCCTTACCCGAATCAGGATTTCCCCCTTTCAGATCACTTTGAAGACATCCATTTGGTTGTGATTCTCCCAAAGACATCTTTCCCATCGCTCTGGATTGTGTTATTAAGCTCTGTGTCAGGCCACCTGAAGGGCACTAATTGCCCTCCCCTCCCTCTTATCAACCCACAAGCTCATAGTTGCCTCCCCCATTGAAAATGCCAGCGCTGTCTTCCCACATCCATGCTCCCAGCCTCGTGCTGGTCGAGCCCTGGTTGAAAATGCAGGTGGTTCCTTCAGGAATTAGGGAGTGCACGGAGCTAGGTTGAGAACCAGGAGCTGTGGCTGCACAGAGCAGCACGGTGTCACCAATCAGACTAACACAGCTGCCTCTTGGATATGTTTGTATTTTGCACATTTGAATTCAAGCTGATGTGGAACAGTTCCCTCTCCCAGAAATCCCAGTTCTTACTCTGAGGGTGAATTGGGAAGACTCAAGTACCTGTTGCAGATGTTCTCCCTTCCCTGTCCCATTTCCTTTTCAGCAGGAGGTGTAACCCTAGCTTTCTTAAAAGGATCATGCCTTCTTTCTCACACTGGCCAGCAACCTGTGTTGTCCTTCCCCGGACCACACAACGCTGGAGAATCCATGTGCCGTATGCTGTTTCCAGTGCCCTTTCTTTTTCACAGTAAGACAAAACTGGGCAGGGAATTCCCCCTTTATATTTGCAGCCATGGGGGGAAAGCTGAGAAAGTTCAGGCATGGTCTTCTCGGATATTTTTCCAGCCGGATCCCATGGCATATCACCAGCAGTGACCGATGTTGTTCATCGTGACCTGGGCAACCTTCTCCACGTGCCCGAGAAATACTCCTCTGCTGGGTATCTGCAGGGCAACTGTTTTGAAGCTTGGGTGATGCCGTTCTTATATTGTGACAGATTCTTCGTGCTGAAATACGGCTTAGGACCAATCCCAAGATTTTTGTCCCAAGAGTTTGGAAGCAATTTGATACCAAATATTCTAGAGAAATTTCTCTTTTATTTAGCAGAAGACGTAGAAATGCTAGTCCTTGCAGCATTCTCTCTGTAGACCTTCCAGTGAAGGCAGGAATGATAATTAGTCCCCAGAAGTGGCATCTGTAAGACAGACTCAAGTTATATGGTTACAGGTTAGGGTGAATGTCTGCTGGATCCCAAAACGAGCCCTTAATCGCTGCTACTTCGGAAGTGCCCGTGCCAGGCCCTAGTGGGTGAAAGGTACTGGGAGATGCTCTGTCCTGTTTCTCGCAGGGAGGGTGTACCGGGAATAGTGGTGGCCAAGAGACTAGATCTCGGTGTGCAAAGTAAATATGCTCCGCAGGGTCGGAGTATACTGAAGCAGATGACTGGCAAGAAACTGGTTTTCTTCCGTTTTTAAACAATCCTATGTTTTATTAGAGTAACTAATTTACTAACTGAATGCAAAGCGTGAGGCCGTTTCCTTAATATGAGCATACTAGAACTCTGAAATATTTTATTTTCAGATGTGATATTTAGTAAGCATTTCTGCCAGAGAAATAAGCACTGCGGATACTGTCATTCCAAGAGGAGCCAGAACAGTATCTTTCTCTAGTTGTTGCTTGGCTCATCTGAGCTTGTGCCCAAGAAGAAAAATTAGATGTGGAGTCTTCTCTCCGACTGGTAAGGATCACATAGTGGTCCTTTTGTAGTTGTTCCCATGTAAGGTTGATTTTGCTGTTCCCTCGCTTCCCTCTTCTAAGGAGCAATCCTCTTGCAGAAGATAGATAATTGGTCTTATTTTCTGTTGAGTCCTGAAACTCAGGTTGAATCCCTGCCCTCATCAGGTGAGGAGGCTCCATGGCATCCTGGAATAGCATTGGAAAAGAGAGGAAAGAGGAGAATTCCAGGCTGTCTTAAATCTATACCCCAGCCTTAAAACTTGACCGTACCCTGGAATTGCAGAGAGAACGCCATGCGTAGGGAACTCTGTAGAAGTGTTCCCCGTTTAGATCCAGCTGACTGCTGGTTACTGTTGCTGTCCCGAAGGACTTCCTGAGCAGAAAGGTTTTAAAGCTCCTGAATATGGTTTTCATGTACTGCGTTTGAGTTTTTAAGTTAATGGGAGCTTCTGTGAAAAGAGGGCTTCTGCACTGGCGGAGGACGTAGCCTTCAGAGTCGGACGCCTACATCACCAGGCAGCGTGGTGCGAGCTAGGACGTAGCCTTGGTTAATCTAGGGACTTCTTGGGTTAACGAAAGAAGTCAAAGACTCTGCAGAAAGAATGATTAAACTGCCGTGTTGTGCAGAGCACAGCGTGTTACTCTTTTCTCGTGCATCTAAAATGACATTTGGGTTCCTTAACTGACTTGGCAGATGGAATCCCTGGGGTAGATGACTAGATTCAAATGCCAATGTTTTAGTAAATGTAATGGGAGGGGGAAAAAAAGTCTATAAATCAGTTCTGTGTTTGTTTTGTTTTTATTTGTCTTTCCCTGGAATTGGCTACATTTGGGGACCTTGAAATGAGGCCAGTCTGAGTCGGGATGCTTACGCCAGCGTTACTGGAAGCGTTTCACCTTGCTCCACGGGGTTGGGATGTAGGTTCCTTGTCATCCCTGCCTACTAATACTGTGAACGATTTAGGAGGAGTTGTCTGGCCGCAGCGACACGTTAGCTGATGTTGGTGCGTGTTGTATCTTTCAGGTTTCTCTGTGACAATCAGAAGGATTTGGATGAGCTGCTGGATTGCCTGCACCCACAAGGAGTAAGAGAGAGCCAGCTAAAGGAGCGTTTGGATAAAAGGTAGGCCTGCTCTTTTTTTTTTTTTTTTTCCCCTGTGTGCCTTCTCAAGGCGTACCCACATCACAGCAAGCCTTCTGTTCGGCGTTCTGCACTTTGCCTGCATCCTGTCTGTGCTGAAGAGGGGTGGATATTGAGGATGAAAAACTGCTCTTGGGCAGTAACTGCAGGTTCTTGATAAATGAATGCCCAAAACTGAAGCGGTGCTGTCGGTCTTTAAATCGCCCTTTGCCACTGGGAACAAAGGCAGTGCTGTTTCACTCAGAACCAGAGCTACCACGCGCTTTCAGACTCTTTCAAAGAACGTGCTGCACTGGTGGAGCGCGTCAGTCACGCTGGATGCCATTGTCCCAGTGCCTGCACAGCTCACTGGGCACTGGCCTGCATCTATTCCAAGGTTGGTTTTGATTTTCCAGGTATCAGGACATCACGCATTCTATCCATTTGGCCCGGAAACAGAACCTGGGCCTCAAATCCTGTGATGGCCACCAGGAACTGCTGAACTACCTCCGAAGTGATCTGATTGAGGTTGCAACTCGGCTGCAAAAAGGAGGGCTGGGATACGTTGATGTGACACCGGACTATGAAGCCAGAGTGAGTGAACAGTACTGAGCAAGACAAACGTGAGCTGATACTTCGTGGGAAGTCTCGAGTCTTTGGTCTCCTCAAACAAGAGGATCAGGAAAATCAGATTTCTCGTGTGTCCTTTCTTTCTAAACTGTTATGTTGAAGATTACACAGCTGCTGGTTTGAGGTCCTTTTGGTGTAGGTGGATCATAACCTTGGAGCTAGATGTCCTGACAGCTGTTAAATTGTCCTCTTTCCTTCCTTCATCTAGAGGCAGACTTCTGTGGAGCATGTGCAGATCTCTTTGTAGCTGATTTTTAGGTTCTGTGTCAAAACCAGCATGTCTTGCTGAGAGAGCAGTTTTCCATTTTAGGGATTATTTTTCATAAATTCAGACCACTTTACTCTCAGGGTAATGATGTGTCCCAGTTCCAGAACCAAAAGGGTGTTCTGTTTATGGGTACGTCAGCACAAGGAAGTTCCCGTGCAATGAACTAAAGTATGAATTTTTAGTGCTGTGGCTAGTTCAGCCTAAATGGGCATTACTGGTGCACGGAATGTCTTTAGGAGAGGATAAATCTGCCTGGTGTGGGTAGAGTTGTGCAGTCGGGTGACTAGTGTGTGCTCCTCCTACCAAAGGATGACACTGTCTGCCTTGGAATGGTTAAAGCTCTGTTTAAGCCTCCTCCTGAGTCACTGTAGAGACTTCTGTGTAGATGAGACCCTCAGTGTTAAGAAGAGGGGAAAAGTGAAGTCACTAAAGGAGTGGAAGAATTGTTTAGTGGTTGCTGATGTGTTGGAGGGCAGCTCTG